GCAGCCAGAGTTCGCGAGATCAATGCTGCTACTCAGGGTAACGCCGCAGACATCCGTCGTATGGAAGGACTACACAAAAATACCCAAATCTACACGGGGATGCTTCAGAATCAAATGGTGAACGCACTAGCAGAAATAAGAGAAATGAAGGAACAACAAGCAGATCTTGAAAGGCGCCTGATGGGAGTCAAGCGGTCAGATGCCGAATCTAACTCCAAACGTACAACACCCCGCAAGTAGAACTTGCTTAGCTCCAACAATTTTGATATAGACTAGGACCTCGGATAAAGTTTTTCCCTTATTTTCTTTTGTATCTGTAAACGAAGACCTCTAGATAGGTCAAATTTTCCTAAAACTAGAAGCATAATGTAACACACCTTACGTGTGACATATATATAAAATATGAAGTACTTCTTTATATACCTCTCGAAACCTATGAAATTAACTAAATCGTTGTACCTAATTTGAAACCAAAAACTAAAGTCAAAACAAATTACAACATACAACTAACCCTCTAATACACGATTGTCAAAACATTAGAATCTTATAGTATTCGTTCTTATTTTCTCTACCAGAACATGCCTCCTCGTGGATCAACACGCAGAAACTCAACTCCAGCACCACCTCCACCACCCCCTCTAACCATCAACTTTTGGAAGAAGGAACGCTAAGAATGTTTATCGTTAAACATTTATATCATCATATTGTAATATTATTTTGGAAATATGTATAACGCAACAATGTACGTTTTTATTATATATATGATGGTTGTGTACTTTCTTTACGATATTCAATTGTTATGGTACTACGTGAAGTCATTCACCCCCGAATGTTTCCGCCATTCTGGTTTGGGGGTGTGACAACTTTGAAGATTGTAAGTCTTTTTTCACTGTAGACATAAATAGGATCCTCCCCTTCGATCGGAATGTGTACCATCTTTTCATAGCACAAGAGTTCTGCATGGTTCTTTGTCAACCAGTCTCTGCCGAGAATGAAATCAAAGTTATGTAGGGAGATATGAATCAGGTTAGCAAGAAAGTTATAACCTTAAATTTCTATGACACAGTCTCTATAGAATTTATCAACAAGTAATTATAGACTTCCTATGGTATATACATGAAATGGTTGGGCGAGTGCATAGCAAGCAATTTGAAAAGAACGCGCAAATTCACGAGACACAAAAGAATATGAGGCACTAGAATCAAATAAGATGTGAGTAGGTTTAGAAATGATGGGAAATGTAACAGTCACAACATTCGGGTCCTCGCGTGCCTCCTATGGGGTAATCCGGAACGCACTGCCTTTAGCTTTAGGCACCTTCTCCTTTTGGGTTGAAGTACCCACTGGTTGTTGAAGAGAAGCTTAACTTCCCGCCATTTGGCTAGAAAGAGTAGGGCAGAAAAGCTTTTTGTAGCCAGTAACACTAGAAGCATAACATGTTATATTCTTCATTGGGCAAATGGGATTCATGTAACCTGTTTCTCTACATCTATAGAAAATTTTTGGTCCTTTTCTTGTCCTGCATTGACCCTGGTGGCTCTTTCCACGTTGTTTGCACGGTGGTGGAGCTCTCGACTGAAGAGAAAAATATTATGACTGATCGCGGCCACGAAAGGTGCTCTGAGATTGTACCTTTCTGCTAGGATCAAATCGAGTAGATTGATCCAACAAAATATTGAAAATATAAACAGTTCAATAAACACGTGGATGCTTTAGGGCAGAAAGAGTGGCACCACATATGCCTAAGACATGCTCGCGCTTTTGGGCATACTCAACAACTTTATCAAATGATAGAATATCCCGATTGATCACGAAATCATGGATTTCATACCATAATCCTTCCATGAATAACTGACTTTTATCGTCTTCAGTTGGGATATAATTCGCAACAAATCATGCCCTTTGATTGAATTGAGTTTCATATTTAGTCACGCTCATTCCTCCCTTCATAAGTTCAAGGAACTCTTTCTCCAGTCTTCTCCTCATGTCTAGAGAACAATATTTTCCTAGGAAGCGAGTTTTGAACATCTCCCAAGATAAATTCTCCAAGTCATACTCATTGGGAGCTTCAAATTTCGCTTCCTACTAGACCAAGGCTTCTCCTATGAGCATTGTAGAAGTGTAGTTAGCATTGTCTTCATTAACCACATGGGAGATACGTAACACATTTTTTGTGTTCTAGATCTAGGCAAGAACAACAATGAGATCAAGGACACCTGAAAACTCTATAGTGCCACTACTCTTGAAAGTTTTGAATGAGGGACATTTCGCTTTCTCTCTCAAAGACTCTCTGGTGGATTTCTCTTTACCCTTATCACTATCCCTTTTGTGTTGTTCGAGAGTCTTCCGAATAACACCAGTAAGTTTATCCAAAATTTTCTCCTCATGAGAGGATACTGGAGTATCACCCTCATTAATATGAGGATCCCCACCTACATCTGGTGTATGACTATCCTCCTGCTCAGCCATTGATCTAAAAATTTGGAGTAACATCACACATTAGAATATAAGGATTTATCATTACCCAACACCCCATTTGAGTCTTTCCTATGGTTTATATTCATATACACATAATGAATATATTCATATATTGAACTTCTAAAGGTTTAAGTCTAACTAGTATTTAGTTCACTTAAACTAGTGCTCTGATACCAGGATTGAAAGTCCCCAACACTAAATTTACCATAGAGCCAAACATGTTACATGTATATTTATAATTATAATTCACATTAATGGTCTAACTATAAAAGCATGTATACAAACCAACTAACAGGTTATTTTAACAAAGTTTCATAACTAGTTGTATAAATACATAAATACCTAGGAATTTATAATGCATATACATATATGTATACCAAGTACAAACGTAGTAGTGTCAACTACTCTAAGTTATCCAACAAAGCATCTCTACTCTAGATGCCTATCACCTGAAATAGTTAAACACTGAGAGGGATACGCGGGCATCGATTAGTGAGTTCAAAAATAGATACAATATAATGTTATGTCATATACATAGAAATATGACACGAACAAAACGAAACAAAGGCTTATATATGTATCAAATGAAGGGCTTTCTAGATAAATCAACGGTTAAATTCAAGGGATTACAATCAATGAGACACAATAATTTAGGATCATAAACCTCATAAATTCCAGCCCAAGTGGCACATAGAACACAATTCCTTTTAATCATGTTGCTAGAATATACAGGCTTTCAGCCCTACCTAGCCCAAAGCTAATACCAAAATGATACGAGTCATGCTCTGCATGGCCAAAGGCACAAAACCAATACCAAAGTGATATGAGTCATGCTCTACATGTCCAAAGGCATCAAAATCCAATATCAAGTAATAACCACTTAGATCAGTAACACAAGAAAGTACATTGCACATATAACACATAACATACAATTCTCCCTATATTGAACTCACTGTGATGTAACCGAATGTTGCGATAGAATTATGAATTCTTATGAAATTACACCATTCTCAGGCCTCTAAAACCTTTAATTATACCCCTGTAGTTCATATTTATAAGTTCATAAGCAATTACTCAACTAATCTCAAGTTATGTTGTTTTCCGTTTAGAAATTCTAGTTCTTGTTCTTTGTATAGCTGCACTTGTAGACCTGTTTTCCCCTTCTTAATATCAAATAACTAATAAATTATAAATATTCAAAAATTAGACTCTTATATCTTTCTAATTCCACTGACCTCACATTTTTATGATTTTTCTATAATTTACTATGAATATTACAAAACAACATCCCAAAATCTGTCAAAATCTCCCAAAGTTGTCAAAATGCAGCCTTACTGCACTTAACATATAGTTATTTTCACCCATCTAAAGTCTTGGATTAGATTTTGGTGTTAAACAAAAATCAAAGTAGACATTCTTAGCTTTCCATGGATATATAGCACATATCCATACGAGTTTTCTACAATTTTTGGTGATTTTTACAAAAACTAGACAATTAAACCCTTTATGATTTCATGTTACCCTTTACATGATCAAACCTCATGATCAATATCACTAACTTCTTGTTTTAAAATGATAACACTTAATAATTTAGTAATTAATGCTAATTCAATTATAAACCATGGGTTTCATTACTAATTTTCAATAACTACTCTTAAATCAAAATTAATTCTCAAGTTTACAAGTAGTTACTTGATTTCCATTTAAGATTCTAGGTTAATAACATAAACTCATGCCTAATCCAATGAACTCGGTGGTAAATCCACTTTTACCAAAACCTAATCTCTTAATAACCCACTAATTACAAAGTTTAATACAAAAATTAGGAGTTCATACCTTGATTACTAAGCTTGATACTTCAAAAACACACCAAATCTTGATTTAATCTTCAAAACTTGTTCAATATTGGTCATGTAGGTGAAAATCTCCCATAGTAATGGTGAGGAACTAAAATGGTAGAAAAATAATCCAAATTCATGTTTTAATGGGTAAAACCCCGAGTTTGGTCGGGTTTAACCCGGTTTGGATACTCGTTTTACCCCTAAACACTAAAAATTGCCTAACTTTTTGTTCGGAACTATGTATTCGATGAGGTTTTCACCTATACGTATCTAGCAAGATAATTTACAACTTCCAATAAAAATACCCCAGAAAATATTTTCCAATAAATGAAGTTTTACATATTTCTATCTTAGACGTTATACTTTCATTAATTCTGATACTTGACATTTTGATCAGAATCACAAAAGACTTCCCCATCACTTCCAATACCATCCAAATCATTCTAAACTTAGTTTTACTTCAAATCTTATAAAACTATTTTGTTAGAACTCAACGCTCAAAACGATATCGAAAAATGGTGTTTTTAACACATATGATTATATTTCGTTATAACTACCTACTTTAAACGTTTAAAACCACATAATATCGAATAATATTCATTTTTAAACTAACAAGCATATGAAACATGATAATTGAAAAATGTTAGTAAAGTGTATGTTATAGTACCATTATTGAGCATTATGCTAAGCTCTGGTCTTATGGAGAAGAAATTAGAAGATCCAACCCTGGTTCACACAGTCAACATGGACGTCCTAACAATGCCAGATGGAACTAATCACCTTAGAAAGAATTATGTTTGTTTTCATGGTGTAAAGAAGGGGTGGTTAGAAGGGTACATGAAGGTGATTGGAATTAATGGTTTCTTCTTGATAACGTATGTTACTGGTGAGTTGCTATGTGTTGTAGGGAAAGATACTAGGGACCAAATATACCCAATTGTCTGGACAGTAGTATGTGTTGAAAACAAGGAAAACTGGAAATGGTTTCTATCATTGTTAAGTGATGATATTAATCTTGGGAAGGTACAAGGTTCCATTCTTATGTCAGACCAACACAAGGTAACAAAAACATTTTATTACTTCTCTTTCACAAAGTATACTACCCAATCCATTTCTAACTACTTGTATTTTGGTATAGGGTCTTATGGAAATTGTCAAGGAACTGTTACCCCAAGCCGAGCATAGGTAATGTGCAAGGCACATTATGGCCAACTTCAATAAAAAGTTTCCAGGGGCACAGTTTGTTAATTTGTTTTGGGTTCCATGTAATGCATTAACATAACAATATTTCAAGGAAATAATGAAGTATATTGAGCTTATGAGTCCAGAGCCAAGTAACTACTTGATGGAGAAGGTCCCTAGAACATGGTTAAGAGCTTACTATCAAGTTGGTAGATGTTTTTCTAGTGTGGAGAATAGAGGATGTGAAAATTTCAATGCATTCATAGTTGAAGCCAGGAAGAAACCTATCATCACAATTCTTGAAGAATTGAGAATGTATATGATGAACAAATTGTGCACAACAAAACTTAATGGATGGCCAAGTGATGTTTCACCTGAAATAAGGTTGAGGTTGAATGAGTTAAAGGCTAATATAAGGTTTTAGGAGGTATTGCTAAGTGGACTCAACCAGGATGAGACTAGGTTAGGAAGTAAGGCATATGAAGTTGATTTAGACAAGAGGACATGTTTATGTAGGATGTGGTAACTTAATGGTTATGGATATGTTCATTATGTGGCTACTATTAGCTACCTTAATAGAGATGTGGAGAAATATGTGGATACCTATTTTTGTAGAGCATTGTATATGAAGACCTACAACTACGAAATTTGTCCAATGAATGGAATCAAGACGTGGCCTGAAACTAATTACATTCCACCTTTACCCCCTAAGAATACAAGGATGCCTAGCATGCCAAAAACAAAAAGATTTAGAGATGTGAGTGAAAAGGGTGGAAACCACAGAGTTTCTAAGAAGGGTAAGAAGATATCATGTAGTTGGTGCAAAGTGGAAGGACATAATAAGAAGACATGTCCAACTCTTGATAGGCCAAGACCAAGGAAGTTACCAACTAAGGTGAACATGACTAAGACTACAAAGATAATTACCACTTCTTATTTGTTATTTTTTTATTCATTATTAATTATGTGTCATTTAATTGTATATTATGTGACTATAACAGGCATAAAAAGTAGAGAAAGGGATTGCAGAAGTGGCAAGTCGGACATGAATGGAAGGTGGGGATACACATGGTAGTAGGGTTAAGAGGGCTAAGACAACAAAGATAAATACAACTTCTTATTTATTATTTTCTTATTTGTAAATATGTGTCATTAAAGTGTTTATTTTGTGTGTATAATAGGGTGAAAATGTGAAGAAAATGACTATAGAAGTGGGAAGTGGAAGTAGCACAAGAATGGAAGGGAGGGATACACAAGGAACTGGGGAGAATGGGACTACAAGTGACAAGGTAGAGGGTTAATGTTGTACTTTACCAGGTTAAGAGGAGGAAAACGAGTGAAAGGATCATCAAGAAAAAATTGGCAACCCAAGTTATTGGAAAGAATGGAAAGGGGAACACTTCAGAAAAACTTGTTAACTTAATGTAGTTTTTGTTGGGTTTTGAGCATTCTAACACTAGTAAGGTGTTCACATAACCATAAATACCTTGGATCTATGTTTTCACTAATTATACATGCAATGGAGCTTCCAAGGTATTAAACCTATAACTAGCATACAATTGTCATATGCCACACAAGAATCTAGTTAGGATAACATACCTTATGGTGGTTATTGAAGTCTTGATGTATCTAGCCTTAAGAGCTTAGCCCCAATAGTGTGGAAGCCTCAAGTGGAATCACAACACATCATGGACAAAAGAGGAACTTTGAGAGAGAAACTCCATGCACCCAAAACCACCATGAACTCCAAGAATACACAAGTGTCGATTTTGGGCAATGAAGTATGTATTTATATGTGGGATTTCTAGGGTCGTGGATATAACCCAAATCCATAATCATGGGTCTTATGATCCATGGTTCATGTGGCCTAACTCTTTATGTATCCATACATAAACTTGGTCCAACATGGATCATAAGCCCAACACACATAAATATAACTATTAACATAATTAGTAGCCGTAGATTTAATTAGTCTCTTTTTGATCACTTAATCAATTCTAAATTAAGTCTTGATCAATACTAATTAAAACCATATGATTTCATATTAGTATATTAGTACTTATAATATATTAATAAATCATATATAACCTTCTCTCAAGACTCCATCCTAACAAATTGTCCTGATGATATGCAACCCAAATAGACCATGGTACTCTCAGGTCAAGTACATACCAATAATAGTTATGGGCTTAGAGATTTAATCCAACAGTCTCCCACTTGGATAAGTCTAAACCTATTATTGCAAGTACGACTTCATAACCCGACTAGCAATCGTAGCTCTTAAAGCCGCTGTCGAACTCTGAACAAATCAATGACGCGTCCATTAGATAAGTGATCACATATTCCTCCATTCTAGATACGATATGGAATCAAACATGGATTATAATCATTCTCTCCATCCATTTTTTGTTTCCCAAGTTTCGATTTATAACAACTGACTAATTGAACAAATCAAATCAGTCCAGGCTTGGCCAAGCACTTAGGGGTGTCATCACTAAATCATCGAGGGGCCCACATATATCGCTTTTATCCTTATGAGGTAAAAGGAATGGATAAACTTTGACTCATATGGTTGTACGAACTACTTGTTGAATCATACACAAACGCATGTTTTATAACATCAAGTTACTAATGCATTTTTGTAAAATCAATGTATAACCAACTCATAGTCAACAACTCATATCTCTAGGTTTGAAGAATATAAGATATCATTGTCTCATGATTCACTCGTGATAAAATCCATGAAGTGATTCAATTGAGCGTGGGTTTAATGCAATACTTGAATCTTATTCTACGAGCACTCATGAACACTGCAGTTAAGTCTAGCCACCTAGACAAACTACAGACCCATTCATGACAGTCTTGCCTCAATACCTACTTCCAAAGTATGATTGAATGTGGACGGTTTAAATAACCTAGTTATTCAGGAAGTCAAAGCATGCAAAGTGAAACACAAGAATAATACTAATCCTTTATGGCCCCAACACTTTGAGAGTAAATAAAAACACCTTTTATCTAAGCACCATATTGATTACTCATTATTCATGTAATGTTTCAAATTATCAACTTAATACTTGAATTAAAACAATAGTCATGCCATGCTCCAAGAATGTACATTATGTTTACCTATGGTCCTTTCTTTTGTGAAATGGATCAATTGAACACGACTCCAATGATGCTCATTTCACAATCTCGATCCCTTTTGTAAATGTAAGAATACCAAACTCTTACCATTTACTGTCATCTGTTAGATTCTAAACTTATATGCAATGATTCTCTTGTAATGACTATGCACAAAAGTCACAAAGACTTGGAAACAGACATTACAAAGTATTCCAATGGAGATCAATTCCATGGAAACGAAGTCTCATATTCAAAGTACATTCCTTTGGACATCCTTCTTTGCATTAAGTTTTATAATCTTATATAGATTTAGAGAATAACTTCCACCTATGGAAACAATTCCACATTTCCATTTTTTACCATCACTTATGAACAAGAGTTGCCTCTTTTCAAAATATGTCAATATGGTCCTTTCCAAAGTTTACACTATACTTCCAATTTTCCACGAGCAACCAATCTTTGGTAAACCTCATATTATTCTCGACAATTGTTTAATCATTTTAGTCATATCCAATTCTATTTCTTTTTCCCTCTTAATGCCCTAAGCATTTGGAAAATTTAGAATGGATGTAATCAATCCTATACCTAAAGCATATTGGACATGATTCATGTTATAAAAAATTTTATGTGCCATGTTCTCACAATTCGAACTATGAAGAAGGATGTCGTAATCATAATCGAATTTTGAGAAAGCAACATATATCGAATTTCCTTATGTTGAACCATTCCAACATAACATTTTTATTAAAATCTCAATCTATACTTATAGAATTGGAATGAAGTATAAAATCTTCTCCCTTAATTATAGCAAAACAACTTTTCAAAGTGAATTGAAACTTTTGTTTTCTATAATTAACATTGCTAACCTGCAACACGTAACAGAATAATCATGCTCCACTAACATGATAATTATAATTTAAGTAGCATAACACTTTATGCTCCCACTAGCTTTGACATGTACCCAGAAATCAGCTTGACTTCTAGAAATCAATACTTTATTGACTTTCTTACTAAAGTTCAGTTTTTTTTTTTTTTTTTTGTGATACGAGATGATTTGATAAGACTTTATCAAAATTATACACCTTTACTTAGATAGCTTACATGTGTGTCTAAATTTTTTTAACCTTGTTTAGACCTTTTCCATTTCTCACAAGTCTATGTTAGTGTGTCGATTACCCACACACGCTCCACTAACGACTTTGAGAATGAAAATATCATAATTGCTATCTACTTAAAACCTACTTAGTGAAAGCATTTCCTCACCATCATTTTCATGAATCGGGGAGAAACCTTATGACACTTAGATTTTATTTTTATTGTGTAAATGTTCCTATCCATGCGAATTTGTCAAAACCATAATCATAAGACAAGGTTAGTGACAAATCTAAACTCATATGGACTAAACTTGCCCGGTCTCATTTTCTTGCCACTTAGTAGCACAAGGGCCTACCACTGCTTCTAGGTTGTTATGCAAACAATTGAGAACTTATAGAACTCACAAGCATTGTCAACTTGAACTGGAGTGGGCACAAAAATATGCCAACACAATGGGTTACAAACCTCAAGTTGTGTGCTATCGATTAAACAATGGGTTTTATTCTTGATTAGTTCTTGAAATTTTTCCAAGATCTTTAAGACTCCCACTGTCCTCCAGACATATAAGATTCTTTTGTCAAGATCCATTCCGTGACAAAACAAATATTCAAGAGTTAGTGTGAATTCTTATCAAGATTAACACTTCTCACTATTGGTCTTAGTTGGTCTCTGTTTTATCCAAAACATCACAACTTACCAATTTTAGATGTACAAGAGTAAGAAACATGTTACTCTACATTTGATAAGTGTTATAAACCTTTCTTAAAATTATGTCACTCAAGTTACAATCTTAGAGTATGACTCCAAGACTTGTTTTGGAACCAAGTATGATTTATCTTTTGATATAACCATTTCCACAGTTCACGATTCCTCTCCTTAGCCAAACAAATGAACTAAGGTGTCTTTAGAGGATCAATTGTGATATGGTTTTATAGTCACTAAGATAATCATAAAACAAGATACTCAAGTACTCTCCCATTTCTTCATATTGGAGAAACTTTTATCTTTCTACCCGATTTGATTCTTCTCATTCATTCTGCCAATCATTGAAACTTTTCCAATATTTCAAAATTACACCTAAACTTATAAGTATAACCATATTTACTAAACTTTAGTAAATCATAACGAATAATCTTATCAATCTTTGTGGTGGACCTGACCAGCATACAGTCGGGTATACCCAATCCTTTAGTCCTTCACTTGACTCACACATGCATGTGAGCAAGGACTTGGTCTTAATTTCCCAAAGATGAAGATTATCATTCATCATACAATGCAAGTTGCATGATTGCAAGTTTCTATCCAACTGAAACTTGGGTGATGAGAATCTTTCCTTATTTGGTAAATTATGAAACTACCACAAATGAAAGACTCAAATCCATTTTCCAATATTGCTATCAAATGGAAACATATAAACGACGATTTTTTTTCACAAATGCCATTGTAAGGATACTTAAAATAAAATCAAATCTTTTTCCTTTTTATTTTAAAACTTGTAGAAAACTTACCCTTACAATGCAAACATATATGAAAAACATGTTGTTAACTATTCCTAAGCAATATATCATAACTCTTAAGTAGCAGCTCAAAAATTCTGATCATCGAAACATATGATCGAAATCCATCTATTCGCGATCAAAATCAGCTTACTCTTTCTTTAAGCTTCCATACTTTTCTTTGATTCTACAAAACATCAAAATGTAATTACATTACATCATGTATCGAGAATCTCCAAATAAGAACTTAATAGAGTTAGATAGTGGATTTTACCTGAAGTAAAGTCAAACCTTTTTTACTTTACCATCCTTATGATCTTTAAGGTATATTTGGCAGCTTCACAATTAATGCCCCTTCTTTTGGCTAAAGAAACATGTGGAATCTTTGGAAATGGCACACTTGATTGTCCAAACTTAGCCTTTCTCTTTACGATTGAGTCAAACGACTTGACCATGGCCGATCCCTTTCCATTGGGAAGAGAAAGTTTTTCTGGACTTCCAATGTCACCATTGTCAATGTCCAAATATGTTTGGGAAGTAGATCTTCCAATCAGATTTGCTTTACCATGGCTCCAAATCATTGCTGA